AATTTTGACCTCAATCTCCGGGCAAACGCACTTAACAGTGAACTACCATGTAGAAAGTTGCCACAGCCCCCTCCCTCAGCCATATTTTAAGCAGAAATTGTGACTGTATTTTATGAGCGGGTGAGTTCTGCTGCTAATACATGCCTATTAGACAACCACCTCAGAGAATGAGACTTCAGTCTACTTAGTTTCTGAATTGCAAGGAAGCATCAGCAGAAACTAGATCACCAGTTCCTTAGGCCAGAGCAGCTAGGAGTCTACCAAAGGATGTATCTAAGAAATGTTTGAGTACAGAGAGCTGTGTAACAAAGTGGTTACCAAGTTTGCAGTTTTCACATCACAGTGACTTATGCACCCAAGTCTTCATTCAAATTCAGGCCTCATTCAGTATTTTGTTTGTTTTATAATATACCTATTTATCAGAAATAATTGCAACTGGCATTTAAATGGAAAATCCACATATTTTTCAACCAGCTGAAGCCTTCACAGACTTTTTGAAGGACTATGAACTCAAGTTTAAAGGCTTTTTAATGGGGAAAAGAGTTTCCTGTACAAAACATTGCTTCGCTTCCTGAGAATGAGACTTGTAAAACTGGTTTAATAACTTTTGTTCTATTTTTCCACCTTCCGGAGAAGAAGAAAAAATACTCAATGACACTGCTATTATAAACCCATTAGTTCATCCCAGCTGAGTTATACTTTATTTCTGCTTTCAGCAAAACAAAGAAAATCCATGTTAAGCTAGCATTTTGCAACAGCTCTTGAAGGAGAATTGCCAACATGATGTTTTTCTTTGAAAAAAAAACCCATTTGTAAAAGATACTACTACTAGTGGCATAAACGAACAACTTTATTATGAATCACAAGAGAGGGCTCGAGGACTGGAATAGGCTTGGCAACACCTACCATCTCTTTCTGTATATACAGGAGTGAAGTACTAGTACACCTGCATATGGCATCAAGCAAACCATCTCAACATGAGCACAGTAAACATGCTTGAACAAAACTACACCCATGAAATATCAATGCCCGTGTTACACCATCACTGAAACCAGCCCACAATTAAGTTTCCTTGCTGAATTCCTATAGGACCTGGATCACAGGTTGTTTTAAAACACATATCAATAGCTTTTGCTTTTCAGTTGAAAAAACAGCTGTAGGACTTAGGCCTTTCTAAGAGTTACGAAGCATCACTCCAGAGCTACGCAAGCATCCACCTCCTATTACAGGAGACTGACCTACAGTATGGCACAATCTCTTACACTGGATGGACTGAAATCACTAAAAAATAATAAATAAATAAAACCAACTCATGAATTCTCCTTTCAAAATGTAGGTTCTACAGTGTGGTGCATGTCCCACTGTAATCAAGGATCCCATAATACAATAACACAAGAAAGTTCAGCGAGTAAGTGCTGGAACCAAACCTGTCGCTTGCCAGTTGAATGATGAAACCATCACTTGCCATCAGGCTACCTCCAGTTTGCTGGCTTTCCTTTGCTGGTGTTACAGGTCTCAAGACAGTCACCTATGGGTGAAGAGGGAGGGGAAGGAAGCCTGCTATGCCAAAGACTATATTCTTCTGATAAGAAGGAAGACCATTTAAGAATTATACTGACTAAACGTAAAACATTTCATGTCTTATAGGGCAAAAAGTAATAAAACAAAAACCTGACCACTTTTCTACATTCTATCGGTCAAATGCCATTTCATTAGTTCACTGTCCTCTTCTTTTAATATATTCATAACCAACCATGAACTATATAGAAGTTTCACTGAAGTCTGAAGCAACAGTTAGAAACCCAGAATAAGTTCAATTGGCAAGAAAAGGCAACTTGTTTGCCAGCCCAAAGCAGATGGCAAATATAAATTTAACAGGAAAAAGAAAAAAAAAGGGGGGGGAGGGGATGTGGTGTTAATGAAAAGGAGAAAGGAGAACAATCAGAAGTACTCTTGGTGAACCAGAAAGCCCTAACACTAAACCTTGCCGAAAAGCCACAAAGGGAATGTGGGGAAGCTGGTCTGAATACCGGTCTCTGAATTGAGATATGAAAAAACTTCTACATGAAAATAAGTACAATCCGAGCAGATGAACAAAAGTAGTACTACCTTCCATCAATCCCACTCTTTCTTCCACTCCATGTTAAACCTCCTAAAGTTAAGCTCCGTCCTCCCACCTCTCTGTATTCTGCATTTTCTTCCCTCCTTCCAGGTACATACCACATAGTCTCTGCTCAGAGCATGCACAGGCATACTAAGCAAGAAGGCATAAATGTTGTTTATTGCTAGGCTGTATATTGTCTGTTGGGGTAGGATGACAGGCCTCTTTTTGTTCCAAATCCCAATTTTATCTGGGCACAATTCCCTATTTGTGAAAAAAATATGGTTTTAGTTATTTTCTGTCATGGCTCCCAGAGGCCTCTAAGCATGGGCACTTATAAATAAAAACTTATTATTGTTTCTTATTTTGTCCTTGAGCAGGGAAACAAAAGGCAGAATGAAACAAAACGTGAAACTAAACACACGAGCAATTACCAAAAAAAAAGTTTGTCATAAATATTTTGTGTCTCTAGGAAGGAAATGAAATCCCTCTTCCCTAGTTAACTAAGTTTATTTCTCCAAGCTTCTTGCTTGCAACGTTCTATTATTCAGAAGTATCAAATAGTACTTTTAAGCTACCTGTTCTGATTTATTATAACCAAATCACACAAACATCTAGAAAGTGCCCACTTGCCTATAACAATACACGGGAAAAAGCAACCAATCTCAAAAAACCTTGTGTCTTCGTCAAGCACAAAGAAGCACAAAATCTATGTCTGCCTCTCAGGGAGAGCAAGGATTTGTATGTTCCTTCCTGGTGACATTTATTTAGGACACTTGCTATTGCTCCTGTTTCAGCCAACAGCACATGACTCAGAACCAGAGGAGGACCAGCTACAGTGGACATGGTTTATATTTATTTTCAGCTGAGAGATGTGGAGGTCCTATTCTTGAATTATTTCTAGTTTTTAATCAATGGGTGTCTAATGCAAAATACAAGAAAGTTCAGCGAGTAAGTGCTGGAACCAAACCTGTCACTTGCCAGCTGAATGATGAAACTATCACTTGCCATCAGGCTACCTCCAGTTTGCTGGCTTTCCTTTGCTGGAGTTACAGGTCTCAAAACAGTCACTTATGGTGGGGAGGGAGGGGAAGGAAACCTGCTGTCCCAAAGATTATATATTCTTGTTTGACAAGAAGGAATAATGGGTTTAAGAATTAAACTGACTAAATGCCAAGGTGTAGAAAGGTAATTCCCTTTCTAACTACAGATTGTTACTGAAATCAATTAAAAATGGAAAATAACAATACATTTTAAAAACGTCTCCAGCAACATAGCAGACAAATAGGACACTGATAAGAGATTGCAGTGCAAACCTAATGACACTTTTTTGATCTGTTTGGCATACTAACAGGTATTTCCTCTCAGCATGTATAAAAACTACATGGACAGTTATTAAGCCTGAAGTGATTTGAAAGGCTGCACAAACCCCTTCTTCATAATACTTCCACTCTAAGAAGTACTTTATTATCCTTTACTCCAAATTTGCTTGTAATATCTTTCTCTTTTTTTTTTTTGCATCACTCATCTTTTCCTTAACTTGTTGAAATTGATGAGTTTGAGATCGCTTGTACTAACCCTCCATTAGCCTCGCAGTTTAATAGGCAAATACTCTGTTTCAGCATGAAAACAAATTAAAGCATATACTGAGTGTTTTCATGAGGTGAATCACCCTACTTAAACTAATCACTAATCAACAGGTATGTTTGCTATCTTATTGCTAAGAACACTAGGAAAAAAAAAAACAAAACCAACAAAACAAACCACAAAAAAATCCAAGGGGGGGGGGGGAGATCAACAAAACCTCTCCATTCTTCCAATTTGCTGTACATTAAACTACAAAGAAAACATATATTCCTGCTTTGCACTTCCAACTAATCTTGCACAAATTACATCAGGTGTATATGTGCAGACACAAATGCAACTTTATGTTTGCTATGAAGCATTTAACAAAGTTATTTATTTGGCACGGATTTCCACTCTTGAGACATTAGCTTTATTTATTACCTCCTCCCCCCGCAAACAATTGCCTGGAGTTAAACATTACATTGTGCCTCATGAAATCAGGCACTTAGAGCTTGAGTTAAATTAATCTATTGATGCTGCCCATTCAAACAAATAATTCTATTAAATTCAGTGGGCCTCATTCTGCAGTAGTCTTCAGCCAAATAATGAGCACATCAATGTGTAGGTACATAAGTTAAATAGTTAACAAATACGTATTTATGCATATGTCAGTGTAACTTATAATTTTATACTTCAAAACATTTGCAAATTGTTTTCTTTGTTACGTACTCCCTCACATGCCGCTGAAGTCAATTTGGACTTTTTACTTAGGTTTCAACGATCTTTTGATCATTGCCTTAAATCAAGCATTATTAAATTACATTCCAACATATGTTCAAATAATAACACTCAGTTATAAAATAAAAATCTGCTAATTGATCATGAGTTACAAAACAATTTTGCAGCAAGATGTGTACTGATTGCTGAACTCATGAAGAGTCATGATAAGTTCCCAGGACCACTGACATTGAAGCAGCAGCTTCTCACATAATCACATCACTTCAGTTTAGCTCCAAGGAACTGGTCCAAATGTATGAGAGACAGGAGGCAAAAAGCAAGAGAGAAGCAGTAGAAGGGAGAATTCACAGAAACTAATTTTCGAGTCCTCCAGAGAGACTTAGCAAAGCACCAAAACCAGGCTTCTGCTTTGAATCTCCCACTAGAGTCACCTTTTTCTCCACAAACTATAGAGCGCCCTTAGAGACACAAATACTCCCCTCCTCCTGTTTTAGCCACAGAACTTGACGCTTAAAAGCCACTGATGATACAATGTTCTCACGCAGTATGAGAAAACATATTACATTATTAAAAGAAAAGTAAAATAACAACATACTTTTCATGGTCCCATCTTCCTCTTCATCATCATCGCTATTTATTACCATGGTCCCCAAGTCCGATTCTAACATAGTACTGTTGTGTTCAATCATTGTCTGAGCGCCTTCACTCATCGTGCTTGTGGCCCTCATGGTACCAGCACTCTCCGAACTGGTCTTCACCATGGTATGAGAGTCCAGCTCATCTTCATCCTGTGAAGAAACATTCGTCAGAATGCAGCAGATCATTTAAAAAAAAAAGTTAAGAAGCAATCATTTAGATGCTTATTCATTAGTTTTATATCTCCATGTGACCTAGTTGTACTGCTAGACTTCCTGGTTTAAAACTTTAAAAGAAATTACAGAATAAAAAGTGTTCCATATAAAGGAAGAATAAAAACTTTCTTCTTTCTCACAGATGTACAGCAGGATGGATATACCAGACGTGGCCCACACACCCACTTTGCATCAGCAGCCAGTTTTGAGTATCTCGGTGATTTTCATGACCCATTATACCTCCTTGGATTCCAAAATCAGTACCACATTTTATAGAAAGTGATTTGGTTGTTTTACAATGGACTATCACCAAGGATTTGTGCTGATCACCCTCAACTAAATATCATGCCCAGCATCTTACATTATGCACAGCACCCAGATGACAGACACTCATTCAATTTAGGTGTTAAACAATCCTCCAAAATAGTTTTGGAAATCCACCTCAGAAACAGAAAATCAACCTGGCTTACTTCAAGTATTTAGTTCTCTTTAAAAACCTCTGTCACAAGAGTGAAAAAAATAACTTGTTGATACTATGTAGAAAAATATCTGTAAAGCACATACTTAATCAACTAAGTGGGTGGGGAGCTAATATCATGAAGAGATACAATAGCATTATGAATCAGTGACAATAACGGGCCAGGAATGTGAAACAAAGAACTAATGACAATCCAGTTAATGAATTATAAAATTCATATGGAATACCAATATTTAAAAACATTAATGGGAAATCCCACTCCTTTCCAAAGTCTGATTTAGATTATATGTACAACATCACAGCATTTCAGGAATAATGGGATGGCCTATACACATTTTCTATATGAGTAAAATACTCAACCCAAGCTGGGGGGGGAAGGGGGGCGGGGAGAAACAAAAACCACAAACAAACAAACAAAAAACCAAAAAAAACCACCCCACCCAAGCCCCAAAACCCTACAAGGTCTGGCACTTTCTATTTCTTATGGAACTCGTTCCTTTCCTTTCCTGTTATTCCCTGACACAGCAGACAATTTGCCTCTAATATAGACATGAGTGCACGAGCCAGCTACATTGCCTGAGTGTCTGTTTCTCTAATGGTTGGTCTAAGCAGATACTGAGAATTGCAGTTAGTAGCGATACCAATACACCAGCTCCCGAAAATTATTCTATTACGTCTCAACTAAGAGACACAAAAATCGATCTAATTTTGATTCAGAGAGTCTGGCTAACAGCATAACATACTGAAACCAGGATACAGATCTAAATCTGTGATTAAAATTTCAAATGTCAAAAGAATCATTCTTTTCTGGATTATAATTTGTAAAAATACTGAAGTTCTTCATTTGCGTTCTTTCTGGGTTTTTTAGTTGCATTCTAAAACACTATATTTAGTACCCTACCCTTAAAAAAAAATTACGATATTCCCAAAGATACAGATAGTTTACAGCTACAGCACTAGAGGACTGTGCCAGTAAATAAATGAGAATATTTTAGTACTGCTCCTCCTGGTGGCAACTTTAATTTTCTTTACTTCTCCCCCACCCACAACATTCTTGCTAACCCCAGTGGGTTTTTACAAGTTATATTTTTCCCTTTCTAACAAGGGTACTCGGAAAGTAAAGTCAAAAAGTGTCTTTTTGCTTTGCATTTTAAAAGTGCCAGAACAATTAAGTTACTACTTCCAAGTGCTTCTTTCAGTACTGCAATACAATGCAAAACTGCACACTCACAACGTACTGCTATTTCTCCTATTAAGCGCTACAAATGTGGCACCTGTAACATACAGGCAAGCAAATCTCTGAGCTTAAGGCACAGTTACATTTGATTTACAGATTTGCTTGACTAATATTAATATCCACTTGCAGTGCATACACTCCTAAACTTACTAAAACTGAAATCAGAAATGCAACAAACATTTTCCTGAGGCTTAAAAGTTTTATCTTAGAAGTTAGTGAAAAAAAGCAATGGCTAACAATAAGTACAAGTATGAAATGGAGTCCTAAGTGACCATTTTCATATCTTCTGCTTCATTAAAAACACTGATATTTTATTTCTTCAGTCAGATCAAGTATCTGGATTTGTTCCAAAGAACAGCATTTCATTTTCCAGTCTAAGAGCGTCAAAAGCCTTTATCTTACTATTGTTTCTCGGCAAAGAGAACAGTTATCTTCTAGTACCTAGAAGACTAAGGATCACAAAAGCCCACCTCAGTACTAACAGACAGTTGTCCCAAAAAGGGATGTACCCGACAATTTTGATCAGTAGTGTTTTCCCCAGATCAGGAATGATGTACTGAGAGAGAGCAATATAAAGTTTTTTCAGGGCCTGTGCATGCCCCAAAAATAATTAATTTTGTGGGTTAAGCCAGATTGCTTCCAGAACTATCATTCCAGTATTTCTCACAAATACGAGATTTAGCTAATATGGCAGTAGACTATACTGGATCTGAAAAAGTAACTTTATAAAAATATCCATTGGATCCGAGTTATGTAAGTGCACATTTACACGAGAGATGAAAGTGATTCCTTCGTACAAATTCTGATTCATGCTTTACAGTTTGTAAATATTGATGTAGAACTTCTGATCCCGTGTTAAGAAAAGGTAAACTCACTGATTAAATAAAAACAAACACAATCTCAATTTTAACCAGGAAAAAAATGTAAGGTATTAAAGCTGAAGTGTCATGTTCTCATACTGTTTACGAAAACAGATCCAAGAATCAAGCAATAAAACCAGCTAACTGTGGAATTAAACTGTCTGCCGTTCTCTTGCGTACAAGTAATAAGCAGCAAACTTGTATTTGACAGGGGTTTCTGATACACAAGTAGACAGCAACAGAAAAAGCACATGAGCGAGAGTGCTAATATCTCTTGAAATGCTACAGAAAATACAACAAACTACAGAAACTCTGAACACCATTACAGCATAAAGTAAGTACAAGTAAAACATTGCCAATACCCTGCAACCCTATGGCACTGACTGTTTGGATCTCCTTATTTACCAAAATAAGCTGGAAGATTATCAAAACCAACCCTTAAAGCATGAAAATGCAATCATAGAGACTTGATTATCAGGACAGCCAATTCAAAAAGACTTCAGCGGAAACAGCACACAAGACTTCACAATATGCTTGTAACATAAAAGATCTCATCATCACACGAGAAGTTTTCTCAGAAAAGACGGCCTTGCACGTCATACCTGAGTCTACATCATGATAGAAGCGAATGAGCCAAGGTGATAAAGATTAATGGATTTTTCTGTTGCATTTTTAACATTCATAGGAAAAAAAGGGATGAAGACTGACAAAGAAAAAACTAAACAAGACAAGCAAATATGGCAGCTTGCCTTTAAAAGCTCTGTAACTATGGTTTGTTCATGTAAAAAGAACACTAGAGGGCACCAGAGACAGCTAACTAGGCTGCAATACATTAAAAGGAAGATTTACATGCTGGCAAAATTTAGTATCCTGTAAAATAATTTCATTTACTATTAACACCTCATCATCACCTTTGAGAAACGTGGCTGTAGTCACAGCTATCTTTCTGTAAAAGCACTACAGTAGCTACATAAACACATAATATAGTTTGGTCAAGAACAAGGATTTTGTAAAAGTTCCTAACATGTACAAAGCCTAACTACAACCCGAGTATATGCTTAACACTGAGCACACATTTAAGCTTAGACCCATCAGCAAAAACAGTGAAGACTTAACTTTCAGCACGCACTCAAATCCCATCAGATTCAATACACATATGTCACGAAACAATGTTTAAGCTTGTTTCCTACCACCTTCTAATTGATATACCTAGTAACGACGACTTGCTGCTCACAATTACCTCCCTATGTTTACTCTTCCTATAATCGGTTTCTGGCTCTAAATTGCTGTGGATTTTAACAATATGCTCTTAAAAAGCTGTTTATGCCCCTTGGGTAGCTATATTTCGCTCGACAAAGTCATCTTTACATATTTCTAACTTCAGGACACTTAAAGGACTGCAATCAAATTTAATAAGCGTATATGTCACAGGCTCTTTGGCTTAAAGGAAAAATGCTATGAAAACAGAAAGTTTTAACAGTGTCATGCAAAGTTAAATATATATATACACACAGATAAATAGATATATCATATACATACAAACACATGAAAGATGCATGAAGGTAAATATAAAAACCTTCAGAAAAATACAGCCTAGTATATCGGATTTAAAATACAGAATAACTCAAATGACTCACTAATTCCTTTAAAATAACTGTATAAATATTGTAAAAATATCAAGGAATAATTGTAGCAATTATTTCTTAAGGTCTCAAGAGAGACACCAACTCCTCATAATTAATACATGATTAACTAAAGAAACTTTTGTATGAATGAATAACTAAGCCTACATATAGGAATACTTGATTATTGATAGTTTGCTAAGTTGCTGATAGTTGTCCACTTAGTGGTCTAAGTGTCTAACAAAAACAAAAATGGAGTACTGAAGTAGTAATTCCTTGTTTGAATATTCTAAAATAATTAAGCATTTCTCACATAATAGAGGTATTAAAATGTAAAAGAAAACATACAGGAAGAGCTGCCTGTTAGCTCATAGGAATACTTGATTATTGATAGTTTGCTAAGTTGCTGATAGTTGTCCACTTAGTGGTCTAAGTGTCTAACAAAAACAAAAATGGAGTACTGAAGTAGTAATTCCTTGTTTGAATATTCTAAAATAATTAAGCATTTCTCACATAATAGAGGTATTAAAATGTAAAAGAAAACATACAGGAAGAGCTGCCTGTTAGCTCATTCCTTTAAAGATCCACAGAAATAAATATTTAGACATGTTTCCTGTGAGCTGCCAGGCAACGAGTTACTTTACATTCCCATAATACAGCTGCCCAGCCTCAGCATCCAATTCACATCACACTTAAAAAAATGCACAAGAGAAGAGATTGGTCATGTTTAGTAATGCTTA